CCACCAGGTCCAGGACTCGAACCACAGTCAGCTATATGGGAGTCCAGCGACATAGCCATTACCCCAACTGCTGGTCCCTGCATAGAATTTTCTAGTGTCTCAAATCTTCCTCTCTTAGAACCTCAGCCTCATGTGGCCCTTTTCCATCTGAACTCTCAGCCCTTAAATACAGGCTGACCTGGCAGTTGTAAATCCGGGAATCACAGCGACTTTGGGTGGCACCGGTGCCACTTGGCCTTGCACCCTGTCCTCGGGCCTCATGCTGCAGCAGGCGTGTGTGGCCACGGTCCCACGCCTCTGGCACTCCCAGGTGGAGAGTGTGCTACTGGTGCTTTTGGGACGCTGGGCTCTGTCCGAGTGCAGCATCCTGCACGCCTGCTGTCCGGAGTGAGGTCTGGAAGCCCTTGCAGGTATCGGCATAGCCACTTGGTCCCTGTCGCTGGATTTCTGGAATCCTAGGTCTTGTGGATGAATACACAATGTTATTTATAATAAATATCAATGTTAATACAGTGAGATGATAGAAGTAATGGAGAGTGGTCTGTCCTTTGTCCCTACAAACTTCCAGAGACCGCTCTACTCGAACGCTGTGGTTGTCTAGCCTGGCACTGTCCACTGCAGGGGACGCCAGCCGTGTGACTGTTTAGTCTATTTTAAATGAACTGTAATTGAGATTTTAATACTTCGCTCCCACTAGCCACGTAAGCTCTAAGGGCCATCCTACTAGGCAGAAGAGAGATGGCACCTCACCATCAGAGTCAGAGAGGGTCACAGGGGTCACAGGGAGTCACAGGAGTCACAGGGGTCACAGGAGTCAAGGGGTCACGGGAGTCACAGGAGTCACAGGGGTCACGGGTCACAGGAGTCACAGGGAGTCACAGGAGTCACAGGGATTCACGGGAGTCACAGGGGTCACAGGAGTGACTGGGGTCACGGGTCACGGGAGTCATAGAGGTCACAGGGAGTCACAGGGGTCACAGGGAGTGTTGTCAGATGAGCTGATCTAGATGCTTGAGGGCTTCCTCTCATTTCTCTTCCCAGGAAGAGAGACGTCATGCAGAATATTGTCCAGATTTTGGAATCGGTGCAGCTGAAATGGGAACTGTTTCAGAGCTGGACAGACTTTTCGAGGCTCCATCTTTCTAATAAACTGGCCATCTTTGGAATCGGCTACAACACCCGCTGGAAAGAGGATATCCGTTACCATTATGCTGAGATCAGCTCCCAGGTGCCCCTGGGCAAGCGGCTTCGGGAGTACTTCAACTCCGAGAAGCCCGAGGGCCGGGTGGTCATGACCCGGGTGCAGAAGATGAACTGGAAGAACGTCTATTACAAGTTCCTCGAGATCACCATCAGCGAGGCCAGGTGCCTGGAGCTGCACATGGAGGTCGACTGGATCCCCATTGCCCACTCCAAGCCGACCGGTGGGAACGTGGTGCAGTACCTGCTGCCGGGAGGCATTCCTAAGAGCCCGGGCCTCTATGCCATCGGCTACGAGGAGTGCACTGAGCGGCCCCCCTCGCCCGCCCTGGAGCGACGGCCGCTGGGCCCAGGGAAAGAGGGCCGGGCCGACCTGGAAACGCTTTCGGCACAAGCCTCATCGCAGGTGGAGACGGAGCCTGCCCTCATCACCTACTGCTACCTCGGGATTGCCGAGGTCCGGACCCTGCAGCAGTGCCTGTTCTTACATTTCCAGGCAAACACCAAAACCTTCAGTAGAGATTGGGTCGGCGTTAATGGGTTTTTGTCTCAGAACTGCATCGTAGACCCCGGCGTCTCCCCTAAGCCCATCTATATCAAGTTTGTGGAAGTAGAGAGGGATTTCCTTTCTGCGGGCTCTTTAGTTGAGTGCCTGGAAAAAGCCATCGGGTACCCCTTAAAGTTCAACAACTGAGTGTCGCACCTCACAGGGTGTGGGCCCTCCACACTCCCCATCACCAGACAGTCCCTTCCTCAGGCTGCCCTGGGACTCCTCATGGGGCAGTTCCCGCTCCGGGCCAGTGCAGCTGCTAAGGAGTCGGAGTGGACGTTCGGCAGAACAGCCCTCCCCTGAAAATGCTCGTTCCGAGCGACCAAGACACAGGATGGACTCATACGGTGGGGCGGCTGGTTCTTTTTTAATAACAAAAACACTTTATCAGTGGGTTTTAGAGCCCCGTTTCAAACGTAGGTACATTCCATATTGGACAAAACTTACACTTTGAGTTTCATATGAAATTGAAAAATTGTATTTTTTCCACAGTATTTCATTTTTACACATCTCTATATAAGTATTATTCACAACTCTGAATAAATAAGCACTAGCTAATGGTAAGTTGAATCTTGCGTCACAGTAAGACTTTTTCAGCATCACTCTTAGCAACCATTGTATATGGCTCAGCTCCATTTTTTTCACCAAGTGTTCTGACATCCCCATCGTGTTGCCTGCGAAGACCTTTGTTTCTGTGATGTACAACTTCATGGCTGTGTTGCCATTTGAACTTTTTCCTAAAAAGGAAGATTAAAATGACTTTCGGGGTCCTGGTGGAGGTCGGTGTGGCAGGACGGGGCCGTGCTCAGCCGCGCGTGGGGGAGGTGCTCTGGGAGGAGCATTGGGCAGGGCAGGTCCTTCCTCCACGTCGTGCTCTGGCTCCTGGTGGCCAGGGTCATCTGTCCGAGTCCCAGAGACCCTGGGTGTCTTACTGTGTTTTTAAAGGAAGGGCGGGCCCGCCCTGACCCTCAGTGCATCTCTGCCTTTACACTCGGTGTCAGGGCTGCTTGCCGTCCCTGGAGCCCAGCAGGGGCGTCCAAGGCATACGTCTGAATCTGCAGGAGAAGGTGCCGGTGTCAGTCCGAGGAAGGTAACGCATGTTCAGATCTTCCAGCGACTCCATGTGAGCTTGCCGCCTCTGGCTCTGAGTGGACTCTCTTGGCCGAGGACAGGGACGCTGGGCTTACAGCAGGCGCTCGGGAGCTAGGTCACCTTGAATGGTGCCCCGGCCTCTCAGGGCTCTCCTCTAAGTGGGCTGCAAACCAGGTAAGCACTAAAGTGAAAAAGGGGTCTCGAATGTACGTGGGAGGCAAAGTAGACCATGGCGAATACACGGGTAAGAGTAACGTGAGAGGCAGGCAGCCACAATCCTAGCTGATAACACTGTTCCTGAGTGCCCAGACCGGAGAGAAGGTGCAGAATGGGAGATTCTCCTTTGGCCGTTGCTTGGTACAGTCTCATTTCCAAATCATGTATAGTCTTTATAATTTCTGAGGAAAAGAATTAAAGTACTCTTTTTATGAAAAAAAAAAAAATGATGTCCTTGTCCCACAACCCGAGTGGCCTCAAGTCAGTGGCTGGCCCCCCGCCGTGTCTCCCGCTTGAC